TAATTGGGCCAAATCCATTGAGAGACCACAGAAACAGATATTGAGGAGAAGCAGGAAGTCCCTTGGAAGAACCTCAGTACCAGTTGTCAAAGGAAAACTAATCAGTTTGTGGGGGGAAAAAAAAAAACAAGATGTCTGGAGGCCCCCACAGAGGGTTTGACAAAGTCCATTTAAACCAACTGGAACAAGGAAATTTTCAATGATTTGAAAAACTGAAGCAGTTATTTGCACTAATGCAACAGGCTTTGGTAAACAAAGTACTGATGTCTGAGTCAACAGCCTACCCTGCTCACATGAATCGCCAGGGTTGGGATTCTGGTGGCAACCGTTTGCAAGCAAATGAATGACGCATAGGCCTTGCTACTCCAAGTGTGGTCCCTGGACCAGCAGCATCAGCACCACTTGGGAACTTGTTATGCAAGTTCTTGGGTCCTAAACCAGACCTAAGTTAAAAAGATTCTGGGTAAAATGCAATGAGATTTTGCATTTTTACAAGAAGATCCTCATTTGATTTGTGTACACATTAAAGTTTGACAAGTACCTGAAATTTTACCCTCTGAATCTATTCATCTGCTTAGCAATCTTTTTTGTAAATAAAACAATGGCAGCCTTCCTTCGGAGTTAGAGTCTCTGGAATTTGTCCCACTGGGGATCTTTCTGGTTTTCTTTTTCTTTGGGCTGTAGTTAATAATACAGAATGTTTTTCAAGTAAATCAGTGGTTCCAGGTGGTTCTTGGATGAGAGCCCTGTAACAAGGCTATAAAAAGCCAGATATTTCTTTTATAAGTTTCCAACTTAAGTATTCCCTGAGGCAAATAGCTTCGGCTTAAAGGAGGAAAACAATTTTATGTAAAATAGATGAGTATCTGTGTAACTATCCCACTACCTCCAAGTCCCATGTATATCAAAATAAGGGGGAAAATTGCCAAAATCAACTTTTAGAATATTACACCCTAACACATGAAAAGGGGACTTTCACACCAAAACTGAGAAAAACAAATTAATCCACATACCTTTCATATTACTTAAAATCCTTCTGCAAAAAAAAAAAAAAAAAATGAAAAACAAAAAACCCTGTTATGCCTTAGTTGTTTTTATATCCTTCCCAAAGCTCATAATGTTACCACTGTGATTATCTGATAAATTCTCAATCCACTTACTCTAAGCAAAGAGTGAAAGAAAACACACAATGGGAATATCGAGCATTCTGAAATAAGACATTAATTCTCCAGTGGAATTATTTGCAAGAAGGGGACCTGCAGGTTCAAATATAGTCCCCAAAGTATCAAAACAACAACAACAACAACAAAAATCCAGGTAAATATACTTAGATTTAAGGTATTCCAAGGCAAACTTCAGCAAATACATAGTTACGTGTTACCTACTGTAGAGGCCAAGGGCTAACTGCCCCAAGATGGGCCACATTGGCAAGATTATTTTGAGTCAAAGGCAAACAAAACCCAGCAGATTCAGGAAAAGTTCCTTACCTCCCCCTTTAGCTGCCTACATTTACTTTGGAAAGGATCTCACCTGTGCCGGAGGAAGAGAGCTATTAACAGAGATTTCTCTGTACCTAAGTAATCTATGTGCACAGCAGGGCCAGCTTTGTTTTCCAAACATCTCCTCTCACCTTCCTGCAAATGGTCTTCCTCCCCTTTGTGTCCTCACAACCCTCCCTTTCTCCTGAGCTCAGGAGCTCACTTAAGGCTCATGGTGCCAGTCTTTAAAATTTCACGTCTATGTGGATTCTCCATATGCACAAAGTTAAACTTGGTTTTGTCCTGTTGATCTGTCTCATGCCAATTTGATTCTTTATCCAGCTAAAAAGACCTTGAGGGAGCCTGGGTGGTTCAGTTGGTTAATCGTCAGACTCTTGATTTTGGCTCAGGTCATGATCTTGGGGTCATACGGCTCCCTGCTCAGTGTGGAGTCTGCTTGAGATTCTCTCCTTCTCCCTCTGCCCCTTCCCCTGCTCATGTGTGCACATGCTCTCTCTCTGAAATAAATCTTTAAAAAAAAAAAAAAAAAAAGGACCTTGGAGGGCATAGGAAATTCTTCCTCCCCAACAGTATTAACACATACCAAACAGTTCATACTATGTAGCAGCACATAATACCAACCATTTGAATTATCGTGATGTAACAGACTTTACGTGTTTGTCTTTAAAATCAGTGTTTGTTGAGCACCTGCATCCAAGCTGCTCATATTTTTTTTTTCATATATTCTTATCTGAATGACTACAATGGATCATTATTAGTGAAATATACCTAAAATATACCTCTTGGACATACTGATTATTTGGGACTATTTGAGAAGCTACAGACATAGGGGACCCTCTCAAAACAGAGTTGAAGTTAGCCTTTCGTGAGAGAAATTAACATTTAGGAGGGAAATCTCATTGTAAGGGTATCTTCCTCCCTGTATCAGGAAAAGGAGGATGACTCTCAACTCTAGAAACTGTGATCAATGGAGAAGATCATGGACTTAAATCTGCATAATAACCTTACCTTTTGTCTACTGTGCTTTTCCTGGTAACCTCCCAATAGTGGTCTGCCCAACCCTGTGCCCACATCTTCTCATCTTCTTTTTCTTTAGCTGGGGATAGTAATTAAGGTGGTGGCCTGGGCCATTTCTGGGAGTTCCTCAGTTTTCCTGGGTCTCTCCCTTGTATACAGGAGGTATGTGCCTTATTAAACTTGTTTGTTTTTCTCTCATTAATCTTTGTTTTATCACAGTGGGATCTCAAGAACCTAGAAGGTTAGAGGGAAATTATTTTTCCTCCCTTACATTAGTTAATTGTGCCTAGATATTTTGCTTCATGACATTTGTAAACCATAATTCATCACAAAGAAAATACACACCAAAAAATCCCCACCATGGCTAAATCCAAATTTCTAATTCAAAATACACCCTCTCCTCCAATGCAGCTGAAACAAATGAAGAAGAACACACTGTGAAGGTGAGGAGTCTTTCAATTCATGACCTCCAACCTCATCTACACCACTACTGTCTCCAGGTAACCATGTTTCCTCAGTTTACTCACTCTCCCACTCCCCTGGACAACTGTTTCACACCTTCTCTTCTCTCTTCCAACCTTGAACCCCAACCTCTGTCCTCAAGCCAAGACTCATACCCTACTGCCTCCTTCACATCTTCAACTGGAAGTCTGATAACCTCTTAAGTTCAACATGGTCACAACTAACTTCCTGATCTCTCCCAATTCCAAATCTAGTTTCCCACAGAATTCTTCTTCTCAGTTAACAGCAACTTCATGCTTCCACTGAAATAAGATTCAAAGCTCTCACTCTCAGATCCCTCACTGAATCTGTCAGCAAAATATGTTGGTTCTACTTCAGAATCCAACCCCTTTTCACAGCTTCCCCTGCTACCACCTGGTCCAAGCTACCATCATCTCTCACCTGGTCCCTCCAATGGTGTTTTTTGTTTGTTTGTTTTGTTTTTTTTTTAAGTAGCCTCCACATCTAAGCGTGGAGTCCAACACAGGGCTTGAACTCACAACCTTGAGATCAAGACCTGAGCTGAGATCAAGAGTTGGACACTTAACTGAGCCCCCCAGGCACCCCTTTCTTTCAGTAGTCTTCTAATTAGTCTCCCTGATTCTGTCCTTGATTCCCTCCAGTCTCTTCTCAACCCAGCAGCAGGGAGATCCTTTCAACATAAGTCAGGTCACATCAGGCCTTCGCTCAAAAGCCTACATTAGCTCCCCACTGCACTCAGGATTAAAAGTCCACAATGGCCCATAGGCCTTACAAAATGCCATCATCCCTATTACTGCTCTGACTGCAGCACCTACTTCTTACCCTTACTCTGCTCCAGCCACATGGACCTCCCTTTTATTACTTGAGTGCTCCAGGACCATCCCAGCCATAGTACTTTTTGCACTAGCTATTCCTTCAGCCTGGAACACTCTTCCCCCAGATAGCTGTCATGTCTAATTCTCTCACATCCTTCAAATCTTTGCCAAATGTCATCCTCACAGTGAGGCTTTCCTTCACCACCCTATTTAATCCTATAACCTGCCCCACACACCCTCACCTTACAGCACTCCCAATTCCTTTCTACCCTGATCTCCTTTTTCTTTTCTCCAGGGTCCTTACCATCTTCCAACATACTTGTATGTCCCCCCACCATTTAGAATGTCAAGTCATTAAGGTCAGGGATCTTTTTTTCTGTTCTCTGCTGTGTCCCAAGTGCCTGGAACAGTGCCTGGCATATAACAGGTGTTCAACAAGTATTTGTTAAGTAAATGAAGAAACTAAACCTCATGTTTTATTAGCAGATGGATCTGGCTGGGCCATTAATGCCATTATAGCAACTACAAATTAGTACAGATCATAGGTACAGGAAAGCTCATTACACTGCTCATTCCATTTTTGTATATGCTTAGGAATTTCCAAAATAAAAGGATTTCTTTTCAGGTTAACAACAAAAACAGACACACAGTACTGTCTCTGAAATAAATGTCACACTTCTGAAGTTTTCAGAAAACAGCATAAGTAGGAAAAAACCCTGCATTTTATTTCTATTTCTAAACCATTTAATAGTTGTTAAATGTATTACAAATCTCTTCATCTCTGGGTCTCCAGCTTCCTCACCTCTAAAACAAAGAGGCCCGACTAGAAGACCACTACCTTTTGTAATTACAACAGTCTAATACCTAATCCTAAAATCATCTAGGCCCTCTTTGTTCCTAAGCGTCGACTTTACACATTTAACTTCTACAGGAGAAATTCAGACTCTGGTTGACATGATTTCATGTTTCTTTTCTCACTTCTAACTTGTCTTAATTTTCATGACTATATTCCAGGTTTGAGTTTGTAGTTAATATTGTACTGCAGGAATTCCTCTCTGAAGTCGAACAATTATCTATCTAGATTCATTGCTTCCAGAGCTGGAGGGCTGCTATGGGCCTGCTGGCCACGCCCACATCAGACCTGGCAGACGGCCATGGCTCTTACCAGCTGGGAAGCAGTACTTACCATCTCCTTCTTGTCTTCCTGGAAGTGCACATCCACAAACATTTTCCCAACAACATAAGGGAGGGCGCTTTCGATAAAGTTTACACATTTGTCCCATTGAGGCAACAAAGTTGTAGTCCCCTGAATTACCTGTGGGAGATAATTGATCCAGATTGAGGTTCACTTGGATAAAACCTATGGCTGAAAAAAAAATTCACACAACCTGAAGAAAACAGACTACAAAACATTGCACACCCCAACCCATATACATGTGTCCGATAGTAGAGCTGACAGTGAAATCAGATGAAGAAATAAATTCTGCTTGTTCCTAGTTAGACTTAAAACTGAATGAAAATATTTTAACGGTAAAATAATGTATTTATCCTTTCCTTTCAATTTTCCCCATTTAATGAAAGATTAGGACAATGGCACAGCTTTTCTGCAGTTAGCAGGGAAATGAGTGGATGCTGTCCCGTCCAAGTGTCTAGATAGCCTTTAATATCTATTGGGAACTGAAGCTGTACTAGGAAAGGTCTAGTATCAACGGATGATCAAAGTTCCTGCCCAGCGAGGGTTTCCTTACTCTGGGTAGTACACTCACAAGTCCAAAGACAACATGGCCCACCGGGAACAACCCAAGAAGCATATTTACATGGTATCGTAGCAAAGGACACACCCATAACCAAGTAAAAAACAGATGAAAATGTTTTTCCCATCTGTCCCAATTAAGCCATTACAAGAAAACACTTACAAACAAGTAAGGAGGTTCCAAAGCAGGACTTGGAAGGCTCAAAGGTTTACTCTTGGTGATGAAAGCAAAGGAACAAATAGTGTTTTAAATGCCCTTGGAGGCATTTTGGAGGATGGAAGTTCAGCGCTCAAAATGCAAACCGAAGGCAAGCAGCAAGGCAGGGCGGCCCTGAGCATGGTGGAAGACCCGCTTGCCCCACAGGAGACCCAGGCTCCTGGCACAGCACACATGGGCTTGACACTTAGATTCATCTCTTTTTCCTTCCCCTGCTTTCTGGCAACTCAACCCCTCACAGACGGAAGGAATCAATGTATTTTTTAAATCTCTAGAGAAAGAGATCCTACAACTGTCTTTGGCAACTCGATGTTATATTTAGCACTTTACACTCAAGAAACATCCCCTCATACCTAACCCTCCAATTTTCACACGCTACTTCTTACACCAGTCTCTCTTATTCTCTTCAAAGTAGGATTGAAAAGCAGCTGGGTACTATCTTTTATGTGATCCACAAGAGTTAAAAATATACACACATACATAAAAATATAAATATAACATGTATATATACATATGCACATATATATATTTGATATATATATAAAAAATCTACTTTTGTAACTTAACCCTTCGATATGACCTCAATAAATATAGCTGTTTTATAGTGTTCTCTATAAAACTCAATCATCTAGTGACTTTGAGAGCCAAAATGTATCCAAAATAACTGTTACTGCTCAACAGTAATGACCCACCAAAAATTCCCATACTCATCTGTTTCTCTAGTAACCGAAACATCTGTTAAATGAAAGCACTGTTATAAAATGTGTCATTTGCTTCTAATTGAGAGAAAAATAAATTTAAAATACCTTTTAAAAGTCACAAAATATTTAAAATGCAAAAAAAAACACCAAACAGAAAATCATTAGGTCCTTATTAATGGGAAAATTATTCAGATAAAAGCTTGTGAAACAAAGGCAAAATAACACCTGTGTAAGTGAGGGAGTGAAGCTAAAATCAAAGAACCAGGTGAGGGGGAAAGCAGCAAAGTGTTTCAGGCAGTTGAGCCAGGTTCCCCGGAGGAGACTAGATTTAGGCCTCTTTGGCCTAGCAGAATTGGAATAATCTCAAAGACTGAATGAAAGTCAAGATAAAGTTAAAGACAAAATTCTATCCCTAAATTAAAGATGAAACTTTACCATCTAAAACGTATACTAGGCATATTTTGAATATTCAGAATACCGAAAATGAAAAATAGTTACAAATATATCACTAAGATACATTAAAACTGTAATTACAGTGACCCAGTTAAGAACATTGGGGAAAACGAGAATAAGTCGATAAGAGGGAGTGAAAACAATATGATAGTCCCAAATACTGCCCCAAATATCTTTATATGGCCTCATCAAATACAGCTTGAGCGTAGTTTACAGTACATAAGGTTTCACTTAATAAAAAGAAATAAATTTTTTTTAAAAAGTAGAGTTTGGGCTGCAAAACTCCCTCTGTCCCATCCCTAAAGATGATTTTTATTGGATTAGTTAATATACAGACTGTTCCGGCATGTAAAGTTATCCAATGATGTAACATTGCAATCTTCTTCAAACTTACCCGTGAGAATTCGAGCCACCTATACTGAAAACGCCTGCTAAGGTTTGGAATTCTGGAATAAACCATCCTCCACACCAAATAGTTGGCAATGGTCCTGTTAGCAGAGAGAAATGCACATTTATTACAATTAGGTTGATACCTGATACTCTGCAGAACACCTTGGGAAAACTGCTGGCCAAGCTCCATGAAGGGACTTCTTGCTTATACAAAACTGTAGAACTTGCACTTGAGAAATGACATAAGATGATACAATGCCAATAAGCTCAATCAAAACTGGCTTGCTTTTCACCACTTAATACAGATAGATGAAATGAAGATTCTAGCCCGAGGCCTCAGCGTCAACATTTTGCTTTCCCTCTCAGGGCATGGAATCCACTGTTGCCTAGCCCTTTCTGTCTAGAAACTGTCCATACCCTGGAATTATTAGGTGACATCATAAAATGCAGATGAATTCTTACTTTTGGGAACGAACAGCAATATATTGGCCAATACCAATTATTTAGATTTGCACCTTGGTTCTATACTTACATGAGCTTGAACTTGTCACTTAAGCTTGCTGACTTTATCTTTTTTTGTCATGCAACAAGGATGATCCCTACCTTATAGGTTTACTGTGAGGTTAAATAACGACACCCTTAATAAAGAGTAAATTCCAGACTTTTTATTGTCATTAACTTCCAAACATATGAACAAGCCCATACACTCATGTAGTGCCCATAACAGATATTTTTTAAAAATCCCTTACATTTTGTTAACTGTTGCCTTTCTCTTTAAGTAAAAGATGCCCTGACCTCAGAAGGATGTGTGATCTAATTTCTAACTCAATAGTGATGATGAATTTTTAATGACCCATCTCCTCCCAGTTGTGCCATTACCATGGTGACTCATAACACACACTCCTGAGATGGCTATTGGGTCATCCAGCCATGTAAGATCCATGTGACATGATGATGGTATCTGGCCCATTAAGAACAACCAACTCTCATTTGCATGGCACTCTAACCCATTCATAGAATGTTCCTATTTCTTTTTTTATTATTATTATTTGGGAGAGAGAGAGAGCACGAGCAAGGGGAGCAGCAGAGGGAGAAATAGACACCCCCCCCGAGCGGGGAGCCCAATGCAGGACTCGATCCCAGGACCCTAGAATCATGACCTGAGCTGAAGGCAGACGCTTAACTGACTGAGCCACCCAAGTGCCCCTGTTCCTGACTATTTCAAAACATTTTGAACATACCCTTGTCAGATGTGGTTAGACCACCATTGTGTTTTACCTTGTCACCTGGCTGACCAAGATGGCATGCTAGACTGGCAGAAGGGTCACTTCTGTCATTTTCCTGATGTTCACTGTGTCCTGACATTATTAGTAATAGCTTCGATTCCTGTTTCCCTACAAGAATTTTTTAAGCCACTTGTCCATTCTGTGGGGGTTAAGCCACTTAAAACAATTCATTAATCTACAGGTATATAGTAAATGGCTTGAGATTATTTTCTCAATGTACCAACTGAAAACAAACCAATGAGTGTGACAGTGCCCTCCCCATCATGTGTGCCATACAGATCAAATGAAGGGCCTGTAGCCATCTATATAGGACTCAACCAAGCCTAATTCTCTTTTCAGTGGAAAAAAATAAAGATATATAAAAATTCTCTAATTTTCTTCTCAGACCCAGTGGACCATGTTGAGGTATGCACACTTCCCCTCAGGGACCACCACTCTCAGCAGTGAAGTCCAGCCCTCTTTTCAGGCTACTCTAATAAATACATAGTTGTAGGTCATTCCTTTGGATCTTCTCAGTTCACATCTCTACTCTTGAGCCAGAAGTGCTCGCTGAGCACTTCCTGTTGGCCAACCATCATTCCAGGTGCCCTGAGTACTGTAAAGAAATAGGAGTCCAGCACCTACATTCAGAGAACTTAGAGTCTCATTGGGGCACACAGAACTTCAGATTTCCGCTTGCTCGAATAATTGGGTTTTTTACTTGAAGAAATACCTTTTAAGTATATGAAAGGAAGTACATTGTAAGTACTTTCTTTCACTCATTCAGCACATCCTGACCACCCAGATATGTGCTACTACTTCTAGGTGCCAGGGAGATGGAGGGTGAGAAAGATATAGCCCTTGATCTCCTGGAGCTTTGAGCTGAGCAGGGGAAACAAGGTAAGAGCATAAATAACGACTTGGTGGACCCTAGCACCCAAAAAGCCCATGCTGGACACTTCACTAGAAGGAGCACATACCTCAAACTGAGGGATAAGATTCGGCCTCATGAGAGGAACAGGGATGGAGCTAGGCCTAAAGAATGGAAGGTTTAATGGGTGTGAGGCAAGAATATGAAGTCTGGACAAGCTAATTAAGAATAGCTTATGTAGGGACGCCTGGGTGGCTCAGTCAGTTAAGCGTCTGCCTTCAGCTCAGGTCATGATCCCAGGGTCCTGGGATGGAGTCCCACATCGGGCTCCCTGCTCAGCAGGGAGTCTGCTTCTCCCTCTGACCCTCCCCCCACTCATGCTAACTATCTCTCTCTCTCTAATAAATAAAATCTTAAAAAAAAGGAATAGCTTGTGTATTGCAGAAGATGGTGAGCGGGGTCATCCCTTTACAGAGATAGGCATAAAGTTTGGCCACAGAGACGACAATGCAGGTAGCTATCAGGGCCCAGTGTCTAGAGAGTCAAAGGAGGCGAGCCTGACCCTAATGCAAGGTCTGTATGTTCTTCAACCTTAAAATATGGCTTCCTAGGTTTGAAAGCTGTGGTGGAGCCACACGTGCAGATTAGAAGACGGTCCATGGCCAGCAGATACACTTCCAGGAATTCAAAAGGTATTCCCTCAAGGGCACAGTGATAAACCAGACTCCCTGGGGAAGTTGTTAGGATGGGGCTGACAGTGGTGATTGACGGTGGGTGACAGTGGGTGATGGTGGGTGACGGTGGGTGACAGAAGAGGCAGTGCGGTGCAAGTATGCTGGGGTGGGAGAAGGGTGGGCACCCCCACTACAGGAGAGGGGTTACTGTGCCCATTTCACATATAAAGAAACTTGAGGCCCAGAACCATTAAGTAACTCCTCATGACCACATAGTCAGTGCATCTCCAACTTGGTAGGACCACTCGAGGAGTTTTAAAAGTCCAGATAAATGCCCAAGGCCACGCCAAAGCAATGACATCAGAATCTCTAGGGTGGGATCCAGCATAAATACTGTTTTTAAATTTCCCCCGCTAAGTCCAATGTGCAAATGAGTTGGAGAACCAGTGTAATAAGCGACGGAGGCTAGACCAGACGGAAGTGGGTCTAACTCTAAAGGCTCTGTGCTTTTCCCCATGCTACACGGTGATAAATTAATGTCTCTAATTCAGCAGAGACTTCCTGGCCAAAGAGCCCAAACGTTTCACAGAAGTCTGTGGGTATGAAGAAAGAATAGTGTGTGACGCCTTCATGGGCAAGGCATTACTAAGACGATCGCAAAACAAAACCTCTGAGAGCTGGAAGAAGGAATGCAGGGAAGCTCGCGCAGCAAGACAATGGCACTGATGAGTAGCTCCAGTGGGTTATAAATATCCTGACAGAACGCTGGGGAGCCCAGCTTTGGAGGGCTAATATTACCACGCCAGAAACAGATCTGACCGTAATGAGTGAATCACTGCCACTTAATGCTCAGATATATCAAAAAACAAAACAAAAATCATATTCAGCAACAGTCCTTGAAAATAACACATATCTTTTTTTTTTTTTCAAAAAGCATTTTCAGCAGTATGGTAATTTCCCCAAATGGCAATAAATAAAGCAGAGGAAAGCAAAACATCTCAGGAGAGAACCCACCATTAAAAGAGCAACATGAAATCATTTCCCAAAGCCTCTGACTGGGAAGATTTTTTTTTTTTTTTTTAAAGAAGCCCTTGCTGCCCCTTGTCAATTAGTGACAGCTTACATTTGTTTGTATTCAAGAGATCATTAAGTGCCTTTTCCTATCCTCATGATGATGTGTTGGGATGGTTATTATTATCCTTATTATCAGATGAAGAAAACAAAGGTCAGAGAGAGTTCAAGGGACTTGCAAGTATGTGGCAAATCCAGAACTAACCGCTGGTCTTCAGATTCCAGAGCTTGCATATGCTCTTCTAAGTCAAACTACCTGAGGAAAGCCAGACAGGTTCTTCTCAAAGGTTCTCAAAGCCAAAGAGATCTTCCTAAGTCCTAGAACCTGCTGAAAGGTACACGTAAGGCAGTGGTTCCCAAAGTGTGTCCCTGAACCAGCAGCTTCAGCATCGCCTGAGAACTTGTTAGAAAATTCCGAGGTCTTACCCTAGATCTCATCAATCAGAACTGTGGGATGGGATCCAGTGGTCTATTTTAACTTTTAACTATTTTAACACAGCCCTTCAGGGAGTGCTGATGCTTGTCAGGTTTGAGAACCACTGGTCTAGGAAAACTCTATCTTCTCTTCTTTCTGTACACACAGCTAAACTAGGAATTTCTAAATCCCAGATCAGTGCTTCTTAAACTTTAGTTTAAGAAGTTTAGTATAGGTGTGCCTGGGTGGCTCAGTCAGTTGAGAGTCTGCCGTCGGCTCAGGTCATGATCCCAGGGTCCTGGGATCAAGCCCCGCATCGGGCTCCCTGCTCCGCAGGAGGTCTGCTTCTCCCTCTCCCACTCCCCCTGCTTGTGTTCCCTCTCTTGCTGTGTCTCTCTCTGTCAAATAAATAAATAAAATCATAAATAAAATCATAAATAAATAAGAAGTTTAGTATATGAACCCCCTGAGGATCTTACTAAATGACAGTGGTCTTACTAAATTACTAAATTCAGTGGGTCTGGAGCAGAGACTGATTTCTGCATTTCTAACAAGCTCACAGGCCAGGCCTATACTGGTCTCCATGTTTCATACTTTGAACAAGGTCCCGGATCGCCCTCAGCAGGACTGAGCCCTGTACGAGGTCTACATAACAGCACATTTTCCAGGTAAGCCCCCAGGAGCATAGGTACAATGAGAATCATCTCACTTTAATGTACATTGTGCTTGCTTTATATTAAAATAAAACTGAAGACAGAAAAGATCACAGAGGCTCGGAAAAATCTCCAAGGGTTCTTTCGGCCAGCCTGCCTTAAACAAACAAACAAACAAAAAGTATTGATGCAGATGATCTCCATGAGGCCAGGCCTTGCCTGGAAGAAGACCCCAAGCAAAATCTCTCTAACCCCATCCTGCCTCTCTCTCTCTCAGCCTCTCCCTCCTCCCATTTTGCTCCTCAGACCAAATTAGATGGTTAATCATCTGAGGCATCCGCAAGTCAGGATTGGGGGGGGTGGTGGGGAGAGCCGACGGGAGGACAGAAAGGGAGAGACATCTGCAGCACCTCTCAACCAGTGATGTGCTAGTAAATGTTTCACAACTGGCGTTCCAAGGGAGGGAAAAAAAAAAAAAAAACCCTGATTTGTAGCATTTGCCAATTTTCAGTGTGAATGTTCCCATTTCAAACTGTTCACGTGCGATCACTCAACATGGAGTTAGGAAGAGGCAGACAAAACGTGAGGGACCCAGCACATCACTGCATCTTCACCCCCTTTCCACCTTGAACTCCAACTCCCTTTCCCCATAGGCAGCCTCCAGCTCGGGCCTCTGAATGGCCCTGCCCTGGCGCCAGTTCTGGGGGGTCTCGTTGCTCTCGTTTTGTGCCCTGCACCATGGCCTGCCAGCGAGGCAGTACCCCCGCCCCCACAGCCACTTGGTCGGTGGGAAAGAAAAGCCTAATACCACCAGGCCGGCAGGGGGCATGACAGAAAAGGGCAAGCGGCAGTCCAGCTGTGGACGGCTGATGCCAACCCAGGATGGCTTTGTAACCCTGGAAATGCCAGGGGAACCGACTATCTCCACAACTAGCAGTGAAATGACTGCAAAGAGTCTCTTTTCCATACAGGAATATGTGTGCCAGAGACGGGATGTAGAAACGAGGGCTACCCAGCTTAGAATCTCAACTCCACGCCCTCTTCAAGGTACGTCCTGCAGAAGTCACTTTACCTCAACTTCTTCATCTATGAAGTGGGAACTACGGGGTTTTTTTCAAGATCAAACGTAACCGTTAGCCATAATGGTGATTAACATGAATCAGTCTTCAAACCCAGTGAGTCCCTCCCAAAAACACTAACAGAAAAGATTCTCCTGGGGTGCTTGTTAAAATTCAGATTCCGGGGCCTCACCCCAGAACTGTTTCCGCCTCTATGGAGGACGAGGGGCCTTGGAATCTGTATTTTTACCAAGGGCCTGAGGTGATGCTGCTGGCGTTACTGGTCCATGGAGCACACTTTGTTATTTTCGGGTTTTTATCTAAATTCTGGTTAGTTACCAAATAGTGTAATATCGGCACGCGGAGCACACTTTGAAGAGCAAGGTTCTAACCCACACATCCCCTAACCTACCTCTAGATTCAATTTTCACTGAGAAAATTTTTATAGAATCACTGCTTATCTCTAAATGGTAGAATTTCAAGTAAATTTATTATTTCTTCTCTCCCTTTTCTGTATGCTTTTCTCAGTGAACACATACTGCTTTTATCATAAAATATAATCTTAAAAGGAAAAGCAGCTCTTCAAAGGTGTTTCAGTGTTTCCATAGGTAGGGATGGATGCTAGATTTTATTTCTAGGACTTCTACAGGCATCTTTTTTTGGGTTTTTCTTTTTTTTTTTTTTACACATAACTCCTGGCAAGATAGCCCTAAGTCCAAGTAAGAAAATATGATTTTTAATTATGGTCTGGCATCTAGCTTAGTAAACTGCCTTTGTGAAGCTACTTGACCCTGCTGTGCTTCATTTTCTATCGTCAAATCGGAATGGCTTCATGAAGATGTAAAATTCCCTTTCATGGACATTTTTAGGATCTTCTTGTTTGTAGTGCTAAAGTAGCAGCACAACCAATTCTAAAACATTCTTTAAAATATGAAAAACCATGGGGCGCCTGGGTGGCTCAGTCAGTTAAGCGTCTGCTGTTTGGCTCAGGTCACGATCCCGGCGTCCCAGGATTGCGCCCCACATTGCATCCAGCTCCCTGCTCAGCGGGGAGTCTGCTTCTCCCTCTGCCCCTCCCCTGCTCCTGCTCTGTCTCTCCCTCATTCACTCTCTAATAGATAAAATCTTTAAGAAATAATGATAATAAATAAATAAGAAAAACCAGGGGTGCCGGGGTGGCTCAGTCAGTTAAGGTTAAGCAGTTAAGCGTCCACTGTGTCCGACCCTTGATTTTGGCTCAGGTCCTGATCTCAGGGTCATGGGATTGAGCCCTGCACTGTGGTCTGTGCTCTGCGCAGAGTCCGCTTGTCCCTCTCTCTCTGCTCCTCACCACCGCCCACCCTCCCCCCGCCCTTCCCCGGCTTGCACTGTCTCTCTCTCTCTCTCAAATAGATAAAATCTTTAAAAATATATATAAAATAAGAAAAACCAGACAGTTCCTGAAGTTGTTTCATCAGTGCAACTTTTCTATGGCTCTCAGACTACTCTTACTCAACACAGGTACTTCACTATATTGCAACAAAGTGACTTACTGGCTAAAAAGAAACCAGAAAAAAAAAGCAGCAAAGGACGAAGAATGAAATGGAAAAAAAGAGATGTTCATATAGAAATTTCAGAAAATAACATCATTATGTAACTAGCTCCTAAAAGTAGGAAACAATTGAAGCTTTCAGAGAGAAAAATATGGAGAAAGGCCAGAAATGAGGGGCAAAAACACTGTGTATCTGCTATCATAGCAAGTAAATAACACCAGACGATGATTTTGGCCAATTTGTCACAAAGGGCACCAGGATTTTCCCGAAGACTCTTTTGAGGTAACCTTCCTTAACAACAGTAGTCCAAGGATGTGAGAGGGAAGGCCTTATAATTTAAAAGGAAAAACAAAAGTCAGGGTAAAATACACAAGAAAGCTCTTACTTCTTTCTCTCAGAGCCTAATATCCTAAACAAATCCTTAAAGTACTGCGGGACACGGACGACCACGTTCTCTGCGGGGCCAATGTCTTTCAGGCCGGGGTAGACTCTGACATCGATGACCTTCTTGATGTAGCCCAGCCAGTCAAACTGAGGAGAGAGAGACAAACACAGAGTGAAGGAACATCTGCTGGGCAGCAAGCAAGGAGAGAGGCAAAGAGAGCTGGCTGAACATACTCCACTGCCTGTAATTTCTGACCAAATAGTTAGAGATGTGACTGCTCAACTCTAGAAAAGAAACGACTGGCTACGTGCTGCCCAGACCTACCGCCCGCATCACACACAGACTTCCTGTGCGTTGTGTACCATCTGCCCGCGGACAGCACACGACCTCCGTCCTCAGCTCCCCCCACTTCGCTCCCTCTTGTGCTTGCCCTCACACCCCTCCCCCACTCATTCACTCACGGGTACACACAGCCGCCCCTGCCAGGCTCCACTACTGGTCTCCCCTCTGGGGCAGCTTTACTTACAGGAGCAACAAAAAGTAATATGTGTCCCCTCTTCAGAGCACCACTCTCTTGGCGTTTTTAATTGGCTACCCCAAAAGTCATTTCCAGCCTTTTTCTTTTTTTTTTCCTCCCCTGCCTGCATCTACTAGTGAAATGGAAAACCAGTTACTCACTGTAGGCAGGGAAGCCCCAGTCCTACTTAAGACATAAAGGGAAGACATCTGGGAATATGCTGGAAAGGCTTTAGTATTTTTCCTGGTGAAAGAGATAGACATGACTATCATTGGCCCTTCCCCTTCCTTCCTGGCTGATGGCAGATGTGGCATGTGGAGCTACAGTAGCCACCTTACAACCCTGAGTCATCAAACAGGAAGTCAAAAAGCCAACACACTAAGGACAGTGGAAAGAACAAACGTGGGTCTTTGACAACACTGTTCAACAGCAAAAGCAACACCAACAGCCACCTACATCTAGACTTTTGTCATGTAAGAAAATGGGCTTTAAGTTTTTAAGCCACTCTTGGAAAGGTTTTCTTTTCCCTACAGTAGAAAGCATCCAAACGCACAGACGGGATATTTTATGTGGTGACTGACAACCATGATGATAACCAGTAAGACTGATAGTAGGTTTTATAAAGGCAAAACTTCACACACAGATGATGTACAGTCGTTTGTAAAATGACCAGTTAAGGTAACATTTCCTAGATCATTGTCACCAACCTGGGGAATCATAGCACTCAGCTGGGAAATGTTCATTTTGTTGTACAAGGCCTCACTGGTTCGGTTTTCATGTGGAATCATTATCTGGTGGAAAGAGACTTTGGTTATTGTTTCGAATGAACCATTTCTTGATGCGTGACTACCTTCTATATGTGCCAAACATCTGCCAAGTATCATAACGCTTTTCAAGATTTTGGTGCAGTGCTGAACTTGGGAGAGAGAGAAAAAAAGACATCGCTTTAGGTAAAATTAAGATGAAGATAATAAGAAGAATCCTTCCTGTCCTGTTCAGTGTGAAACACTGCCCTCAGTCCAAAAATAACTTCCCAAATCCCTTCCTCATCTCTAATGTGGATGGACAAAAATCTATTACTGGCTCAGGTCTGACAGCCAAACTGAGATTAGGCAACTGAGACAAACATCCCACCTTCACCTGTGGTATCCAGATAATGACCAGAAGAGCTTATGAACCACAGGCCATCCCTTCATCCCTTGGGGCACATTTTCACTAAAGAGCACTAGACTATCTGGATACCACTGCCATCTGTGATCATTGTGTCAACAGCTCATTACCTCCCCTCCCCTCTTCCCTCTGCTTTCTCTGGCCTTCAGGAACCGCCCCCCCCCCCCACCACCACTCAGGGAATGAGTTCAGTTACCACTCAAACACATATTTCCAAGTCTACATCTCCAACCTTGACTCTTGACACTCTTTCTATTCCCAATACTCATGCTCTTGGCCACTGTGCCAACACCAAATCTAAGCTATGTTGAATCTAAGAAAAGCAGCAATGATTATCTTCCTCAAGGGCCGTCTTAATCATGTCCACGGACGGGAAGCAGCTCCCCATACCCTTAAACCATACCGTGCTTTTAAGGCCCTCCATCCTCTGATTCTCTTGCATTAAACTTGCCACTTTCTACCTCACACCTCACACAAGACTCTCCTACCCTGGCACCCCCATCCACCATCACCACTCCCATAGTTTGAACCAGGATTCAAGACTTGGCCCAAGATTCATTTTCTCTGTCAAGTCTTTCCAGTTAAACTCTACTTGGTTCCAATCACAAGGGCCACTCCGTCAACGTGCCCTCCCTTTGTGAACACTTCTCTCTAGCTGGTATTGGTTAAATGCACACTTCCATGGCTGTGTTTATAAGGACCTTTTTGTGCTTGGCTAGGTTGTCCTGTCTCTCCAGCTTCAGAAGTTTCCCTAGTACTATGTGTTCCACTAATTTTGAATGACCTAGGGGTATAAAAGATGGAGGTAAGAATTACCAGCAGGCCAAAAATCTATGCACCACAGATTCTTGAAGATAAAAATCACACAGGGCTGAGTGACGGACATCTACCCCCTCTTTCCTAAATGCTTCAGTGCCCTCAGCTTCTCCCCCACCTCACCCTCCACAGGAGAGAGTTCATGAATCTTACAAACAGCTTCCTGGATCCATCTGAATCATTGCCTCAGAGAATGTCCACACTCCTCCCTCCCTCTACTAGGGCTCTCAGTCCCGGATTGAAGCCCTTTGGCCTCAGAGCTGTTTTCAGCTCTCTGCCAACTACTTCCCCCCACCCCATGGATTTGTCACTTCATTTAGCCTCTCAACAATTCCCAGTCTTGCCTCAGCCCAGCTGTTTTTATAGTTCCCTTTTTGGTCCAAATCCCTGGTTCAGGGCAAGGCCTTTCCCTGCTGTATCAGAGCTTCAGTCCAAATTAGAGCTCTGGGTCTCCTATTTGCCTGGGAAGGGAATCCAGATGGCCTCTAGACATGGCTTAGAGGCCCAGTCTTGACTCCAGAACATCTGCAGCAGTGTTCACACAGTCTTCAAAGGTGACATGCATGAATGAACTTTCTGCTCTGCAAGTAAGAGTTTGGAGAGAGGTATGCATGTACATCACTGCAGCTGAGAGAAACTAATTCCTCCTGACCCTTATCAATCATCCCTACTCCATACCTCAACACCCTACCACCACTTTGCCAAACACAAAACCAAGCAACACCTGGACTCACATGCAACTAAGGATTTTTACCAACTTCTGTTATAAAAGACTACCAACCCATATGCAAGACTTGATAAAAGTGTCATTTTTTTCCCCACTACGAAGTATACCCACAAACAGATTTCACATTTTTTTCCCTCCAGTCCTAAGAATGTACAGGGCTTTTACACTTTGGTTCTTCTACAAAAGAAGTTATGTTCTGAACAAAGGGAACCAGTGAGGATTTCTCATTATTTTCCCTCAAGTTTGTTCTTAGGTCTCTACCCTGAGCCTGAACTTAAGGTAACTTGCAAAGAACACAGCATGTGACACAGTGACATTTAAGTGGGGCAAGAAAAGAATGAAAAACGGTTAGGTACAAGGTAGCACCAGAATGGCAGCTAAAAAATGCTTACTGGCATGTCCTATACCTTTTCTACATCAAACTGTATATCCAGCATCCAGGATGGGTGAACAGACTTCCCAAAGGCCCGATCTTAGGTCAGACTGACCCTGAGTGGGACTGGTATAAAGAGTAAACTAAATTAAAAATAACCTCCCACTCAAGCCAAATCAATATGGATTTATTAACTATTCTTCTATAGGAACCACACAGAAGTCGTGTAGGAAAACATAGTCAGAGGATCTCCCTGATGCTGTTCTTTGGCCACAGCTAGGCAGCATATGGCCCTTGGGCTTCAAGCAGGGAGGCAGAAGGAAAGAAGAGCTCTTCTTTCTATCATGGTTCTTCTTCCTGTTCCTTTCCAGAGGGGATGCTATTAGTTCTACCTTGGATCCAAAGGACATTGCCACAGAATGCCCTTTTTATATATATTTTCACTCATGGTATACTACTTTTAAAATAAGAAAAAGAAAATAAAGAGATTTTTACATTAAGACTTACCTCCGCTATCTTAATTTCCAATCTAAGCACTGACTTCATGTCATGCTCCGCTCGGGAGCTATTAGCTCCCAAAAGCACAGCCGTATCCACCATGAACTTGTAAAGGGCATCCCGATACTATAAGAGATAAAGAAGCAAGTGACCATGACAACAGCCTATTAGAAAGTACGTTTCAGGGACAGAGAAGGGCAAAAACAGCAGATGGAAGTAAATGCTCTTCAATTTCACTCTCTACTCCAAGTATGGTACAGGCATGAGGCAAAACCAACCATCCACCCACCACTTTGGGAGAAAGAGTGGCAGCTAGTGGGGGACTGTTTTCATGAGAGACAGAGATACCAGCCACCAAGGATCAAGAGAACTAGTTTTCTGGCAACCAATGATATTATAGATACAGGAAACATCTCCAAATGAGCCCAGAATAGAAAGTTAAAGGTCAGACTCCTCTTTCCAGGCAAGTGAGGTTTTAATAAAATAATGGGAAAGAATGGTTGCTAAAAGCAGGAGGCATGATCCATGAAGACTAGTGGAAACTGTGATTTATTCTCTTGCAGCTCAATTTACCCACCTTCACACTAAGCAATAAAAAGACCAGTGCTTGCAACCCTTTGTCTCTTCAGTTTTGTATGGATTTTACAAAGTTCTCCTCACTACTCAGGGAGAAAAGAATGAAGAGAGGAATGATAAAGAGAAACCCAGCAAATAGCAAATACAGAGTTTCCTCCCTGCATGTTCATAAACCCATTGTCAGGCTATTCATATGGCACTGGAGAGGGACCTTAACTCTGTGGGAACTGTGGAATCTTGTTGAGGGTAACCTCTCCTTTCAGGTATGTTTGTGAGAACTCAATACACCACATATTAAATTATCACATGGTTATGCTATGGGACTAAGATTTCCTTACATCTTGATTATATATGCTATTCTTGCTATGTTTATGACCTCGAGACCTATACAGTGATTGGCATATAGCAGGGCTTTAATAAATATTTGTTAATCAGTAAGCAAGCTTGGCAAAGAGTCTTAATTAGAAACAATGTTTTATAATTCCCAGTTCAATTTAAGAAATTATTTATTCAATCAATACATGTATAGGATGTCTTGCTAGGCATTCTGTGCTTATGTGGGGTACAGATGAAAAATTACATAATGCATGAGTCCGGTTCTCGGTGTGTAATCCAGTGAGGGAGATAAACATGTAATTACTAACTGTAACATTAGAGAGACCAAAATCAGTTCCTTAACAAAGCTGCTAAGTGTTTGGAAACTCAAAAAGTAGAGAAGAATTCCAGCCTGGAGAAATGAGCACAGAGCACTTGAAGGAGACAGATTCAAGAGTAGTGAAGAATCCTGTGAGGTGTGTAAGCTGCCTTTGTTGGGAGAAAAACAAAAGTAAATGAGGCAGCAAAAGTGTTCTGGGATCATGTCATGATCAAAGCATGCTGGGAGCTATACTTTGAGAAGAGAACTTGTCCAGTGGTGCTAAGGAGGCAATGAAACGAAGGGGAGGAGTTAACAGTTAAAGGCTACTTGTAGTCAAGGCGAGAGTTAACAAGGATCTGACCTAGGGCAGTAAAGACAGAGAGGAGGGACCAGACGGAACAGAGATTTTGAAAGTAGAATCCACAGGACTTGACTGATTGGTTACAGGGGATGGGGGAGGGGGTTTCAAGCCTGGTTGCTGATAGGGTGGTGACCCCAACAGAAAGGTAGGTGCCTGCATATTGGCAAAAGTCCATTCTATCCACTTGGAACAATACAAACATGCCAACCTTCTTTGATGAATGTCCTTACCCAGAAAGTTGCCTAAGATCTTACCTAGCTTCCTGCCCTCCAGAACCTTCTAGATACAAGGTTTAGTAACAGCAAAGGAGTAGGGACTTCCGTTGTGACCCCAACACTTCCCAATCTACGTTCCTACATTCTTAGGCTGGGCCAGAAACCAGTGAACTCCCTAGTCAAGGGTCCCCTGGGTCTGAGGCTCCTTTGGAAGTTCAACCGTGTTTCCAAAATGAATTGAAAATGTCAGGAATGAAGCAGCTCTACTCCAATCTCCAGGAAACTACTCGGTTTCCCAGCCAACCCAAGAAGTCTATTGGAACTGATCCCATCTGGTTCTTATTAACCTTGCATTAACCCGTGGCATCTGTTAAGAAAACAGATTCTTGGACCCCACTTCAAGTCTCCTACATGGGCCTCTCCTGGGCTGTGGCCCAAGAATCGACATTTAACAGGAGGTTCCCAGATGACTCTTAAGCCATACAATTTGAGAACCATTGACTGACTATGTCAACCCAGTCAAATCTCCACACTTTACTTCTGCAATGTACAGTGAGCTCTCTACAGTTCTGAGGAAAGGCTGCAAGCTCATTTCTTGGTTACTTCATTCAGGCGTGCTGTCTCCCCAGCTCGATCATGAGGGCCCTGAGCGTTGACGGCCAGACTTTCTGGAGACAGGAAGTGCCATGTGTCTGATTGAATAAAAGGCCTCTGCTTCCTGCACTGGCAACATGGTCATCAAACAGTCACATTGTTCATTTCCAGTAAAGAGTCAGGGATTTTAGAACAATTTATGAACCCAACAACAGTCTGACAAGGCACAGTGGTGAATATGAGTCAAACTTACAGACTTGGCTTCTGTGGTATTATCCAGGTAGTCTTCCCTCACGGCTAGGGAGAGAGTTGCTTGGTCCAGCTGTTGAAACAAAACAGAAAGCATTCTGCTTGTAATATAAATTCGTACCAAGCATTGTAACAAGAATCATGGAATGGGCACGGCAGGGGTGCTCTGAGTCTCGTCACCAGTACAGAAAGAGTTCCCTGCACTCAGAGTGATAGGCAAATAGGTACTTCAGCAAAGACAGAAATTATAAAGTATCAGAGACCGGCCCCTGCTTCATGGATTCTAACCTTTTTGAGGTTCTACCAATACTGAATAGCATCAAAGCTCTCTGAGTTGAAATAGGTCTTAGAGATGATTTGGTTTTCCCCCTTCTTGTGGAGAAACAAAGGCCAAAGAACTGAGGTGACTTTTCCAAGGTAACATGGCCGGGCAGAGCTCAGAGGAGAATCACGGTATCCCGTCACCAGATCCAGCATTCTCCTCACTGCAGTATTTTACAAAAATGCCAATCTGGAGAGAGTTGATTAATCACATTTTCTTTTTTTTTTTTTTTTTAAGATTTATTTATTTGACAGAGAGAGACACAGCGAGAGAGGGAACACAAGCAGGGGGAGTGGGAGAGGGAGAAGCAGGCCTCCCACAGAGCAGGGAGCCCGATGTGGGACTCGATCCCAGGACCCTGGGATCATGACCTGAGCCGAAGGCAGTCACTCAACCGACTGAGCCACCCAGGCGCCCATTAATCACATTTTCTACCGCCATACCCCTAAAATACTGTACTGCATTGAGTGATTTTTTTTTTATTTTAAAGGAATCAAATGAGAATTCTGTTTTGAGAAATCTTTGCAAAATTTAGAACTCTCTCTGGAAAGTTTAGGATAGGTGATAAAAATACAAATAATAGACAACTAAATAACCAAAATTATTATGGAAAAGTATAGCATAATTTCTTGAAGTAAACAATTTCAATGTCTTAAAGGCAATCAAAGGGGGAAAGACAGTGTTTTGTTTTGTTTTTTAAAGATTTTATTTATTTGAGAGAGAGAGAGAATGAGAGACAGAGAGCACGAGAGGGAAGAGGGTCAGAGGAAGAAGCAGATCCCCCGCTGAGCAGGGAGCCCGATGTGGGACTCGATCCCGGGACTCCAGGATCATGACCTGAGCCGAAGACTCATACCTCACATCTTTTACAAAAATTAACTCAAAATGGATCATAGACCTAAATGTAAAACCCAAAACTATGAAACTTCTAGAAGAAAACATAGGGGCAACTCTTGTGACCTAGGGTTAGACAAAGAGTTGTTGGCGTTTTTTTAAAAGATTTTATTTATTTATTTGACAGAGCGAGAAAGAGAGCACAAGCAGGGGAAGCAGTAGGGAGAGGAAGAAGCAGGCTCCCCACTGAACAGAGTGCCTGATGCGGGGCTCGACCCCAGGACGCTGGGATCATGACCTGAGCCGAATGCAGACGCTTAACCAACTGAGCCACCCAGGCGCCCCAGAGTTATTCTTTTAAAGATTTTATTTATTTATTTGAGAGAGAGAGAGAGAGAGAGAGAACACAGAGGGAGAGGGAGAAGCAGACTCCCCACTGAGCAGGGAGCCTGATGCAGGACCGGATCCCAGGACCCTGAGATCATGACCTGAGCCGAGGTCAGATGCTTAACTGACTGAGCCACCCAACTGAGCCACCCAGGCACCCCTAGACAAAGAGTTATTAGACATGATACCAAAATCACAATCCATAGAAGAAAAAAGAAATTGGACTGAGTCACCATTAAAAAATTTTGCTCTGCAAATGACACTGTCAGAATAAAAAGATGAGCTACAGAGACAAAATATTTGACAATCACATATATGAAAAAGGATTTGTTTATAAAGAGCCCTCAACATGCGACAGTAAGAAAACAAACAACCCAATTTAAAAGCAAGCACAAGATTTGAACAGACAATTCACCAAAGAAGATATGAAGATGGAAAGTAAGTGCATGAGAAGATGCTCAACAGCACTAATAATTAGGAAAATGTAAGTCACAAACGATACACCACCACTATATATCATTAAAATGGCAAAAACAAACAAACAAGCAAAACCTGCTAAGGTAAAAGCTGTCCAGGATGTAGAAAAACTGCATCACTTGCACATTGCTGGTGGGAATGCAAAATGGCAGAGCCACTTTAGAAACCAGTTTGATAGTTTCTTAAACATACACTTACATATGACCCCATATGACCCAGCAATCCCACTCCTAGGTATTTATCTAAGAGAAATAAAAACTTAATGCTCACACAAAAACCCACATGTAACTCTATTCATAACTGTCAAAAACTGTAAACAACCCAAATGTTCTTCAACTGGTGAATGGATAAACTGTGATATACACTGGAATAGTAGTCAGCCCTAAGAAGGAATGAACTACTGATACATGGAACAACGCAGGCAAGTTTTACCCACGTTCTGAAAAAGGCAAAACTACAGGGACAGAGAACGGTGTTTAAGGATGGGGAAAGTGGTTGACTACAAAGGGGTAACATGAGGTAATTTTGTGGGGGGTGATGGAGGTGATTACATGACTCTGCATTTGTTTAAACTTACAGGGGCGCCTGGGTGGCTCAGTCAGTTAAGTGTCTGCCTTCATCCTGGGCTAGAGCCCCACATCTTTGGGCTCCCAGCTCAGCGGGGAGTCTGCTTCTCCCTTCTCCCTCTGCCCCTCCCCCCTGCTCGTGCTCTCACACACACGCGTGCACACTCTCTCTAAGGAATAAAAAATCTTTTTTAAAAAATCTTATAGACATGTGCATCACAAAAGTTAATTTCACTGAATGTAAATTTAAAAGTATTTTTTTAAGTTCCAGAACCTTCTCTAAATCTATGGCTGTTCTTTCTTGAGTTTCAGCAACTGCCTAAAGACTAAAACAGATCCCAACAGCAGATTTTCTAAATTTAAATCTGATTCACACAGAAAAAAAGTTAAGTCAAATTAAGAACATACAAAATCTAAGTAACAAATAAAAAATTAGTAGCATCTGAATAAAAACTGGATTCTACATGCCTGTATCATTAGTTTATGCAACTCTACACTGTTTTTATCTATGTATTCTAGTTCTTCATTTTACTATAATCTCAAATATTTTCTTTTTTTAATACATAAGATTGGTATAGCATTATAGTTTTCCATGAAGATCTCCTTCATATGCAACAAATTCTACAAAGGCCAAGTTAAGAGTTAGTGATGTTATGAAAAATTCAAGGAAAAACACTACTCTTGTTTCAAGGAGGAAAAAAGAGATTTTCATAACATCCATCTTGCCTGCATGTATTATTAAAATCCTTAAATTGTTGTATTCAGCTGTCTTCTCTAATTGGTCCCAAACAACCAAATCATAAGCCAGCCTGGCTTCATCCTACTAAAACTCCCAATCTACCACCATTTCTTCCAAAAATTAAGTAACCCAGGATCGTGAAACACAGTATTATGATTAAGATGCTTTGGCTTTCAGTTAGATCTGGACAAATTGGAGCAATCTTTTGAGCTTCAGTCTCATAGGAAAGGAAACTAAATAGACAGTATCAAGAAAGCCAAAGTTTCCCTCTGATGAAATGAAGTTAAATCCCCTTATTGTAAAAGTTTATATGACTCAAGTAAAGTTACTGGACCTTTTTTAAACCTCCACATTGTTATGGTTTCTAGGGAACGTTTTAAATACACCAAACAGAATAAGGTCTGACAACTAAATCTCTTTAGAAGCATACAAACTCTTGAGGCAAAAGACTTTCTCAAGAGACCAACATTAGGACACTGTGTTATTGGAGGTTTTTTAATCCTTGTGTTTACAAATGATCCGAACATCCCAAGTAGAAAATAAAGTATGTGTTTAGGAAATCCGATATATTGAACTGAAAGATGAATTTTTTTTTTCTCTAACTACAACAAACCTCAGGTTAGGAAACAAAGCAGTAACACAAAAAGAAACATCTGCCAAATTATGATTTAGGAAAAGAAAAGACAAAGCAATTAGAAAAACTTCATTTCCAAGAGGGTCTCTCCTTGTCATTCTTAAGGATTTTGCTAAAAGCTAGACAAAAGCAGGACATTAATGATGGTTTTAAGTCAGTTTCAGTAACACATACTTAGACAACCTGGTCTTCCAAACGTTTTTTCAGGATCCTATATAATCAAGTCCTTTATTGTTTCACAAGTCCTCATTCTTGTAATCTCCTTACATAAAATAAACCCAAACACATGTAGCAAGGTACGTTTGGGGGCTTTAACTTCTGTTGTTTCCTCTATTTTTGAATTTCCTTTCTCCCATTTCAGCCTCTGGCAAATCCTGTGCTATCTCGTCACAGGGCAGCTCGACAGAGGACCCCTGGGTGGTCTGAGCAACCCCCCGCTCGCCAAACTGCCTGTCCTTGGTATGGGGCCACCTCTGCCCACTGGAAACTTGCCTTTTTTCTTCACCCAAAAGTACCACCTGCTCACCCAAAGGAATTGCCACAGTGCTGTGCCGTCCCAAAGAGAGTCCTTTTTCTTTACCCCCATGGGTTCATGGGATTAGAAAGCTAAAAACATTGAAGAAAACAGGATGTGATGGGAAAAGAAGTCTAAGTACATAGAGGGAGGAGAGTCTGGGGTAAGAGAGAGCTCTCCCAGAGCAAGAAGAAAATCTCCTCAGCTGCCAAAGAAGTCCAAGTTTCTCATAGGCACAGTGACCAGTCACTGCCCCTAGAAAACAGCAGGATGGCAGAGGGAGTGGGAGACCCAGGTCCCCAGTAGCAGAAAAGTACACCTGAAGGGTCCACAAGGGCTGAGAGAAGGGGTTTCTTCTCAGAAACACCTAGTTGATGAGTGGAGAATCTCCCACTATCCCAGGAGAAGACTAAGAAATGGGGCAACCAGAAGGTGGGGAAATGCCTACACTGGTTGGGTTTCCCACTACAAGGTGGCATGGGAGCTCAGACGGATGTGAGACTAACTGAAATTGCCTATTTTTAGCACAAGTGAACTTAAGATCCGAGAGGTATGTTGGGTACCAAAATCGAAGAGAGTCAAGTGGTTCTCCAAATGGTTCTGACCAGTTGCCTTGTCATGCTTTAAGAGAAGGGCACCTCTTGTCTTGTGCTACCGTGTCCCAGTATCTATCCTGCAAACTGTCACCACATTCATCTCATTTAAACTGCACAGCAACAGTGAAAAGTACATTCTAATCCACTCGTCAGTATACATGGGGAAAATGAGACACAGACAGGTGAAACAATTTGCACACGGATATTCAGAGTCAAACACAAAGCCAAACCATGAACCTCAGTCTCTTTAACACGAAAACCTATTCTTTTTTCTAACACCTTAGTGGTTTTCAAACTATGTTCCACGAAAGTTAAAAGGTGCTCCCCGAGGGGCACCTGGGTGGCTCAGTCCTTAAGTGTCTGCCTTCAGCTCAGGTCATGATCCCAGGGTCCCGGGATCGAGCCCCGCGTCGGGCTCCCTGCTCCGCGGGAAGCCTGCTTCTCCCTCTCCCGCTCCCCCTGCTTGTGTTCCCTCTCTCGCTGTCTCTCTGTCAAATAAATAAATAAAATCTTTAAAAAAAAGTGCTCCAAGGCTTGAAATATTTAATCAAATTCTGTACGGTTTTAACTATTTCTAATAAAAGCAAAGTTCACAAATTCTATAACATCGGCAGTGACCAATTTGCTAATTCTTGTTGTCAGGTTCATTGGGTTTTATGCAGATCTCAGAAGAAAGCTTCTCCTACCATATCTAGACACAAGCTTGAACTTCTAACCATGTCACAATTACGAAGACTGAAGCTCTATTTTGTTAATTCAGCTGTGTGACTATTCATTCACATAAAATGGTACAGAGACGTAACTAGAAATAAAAACCTGTGGGGCGCCTGGGTGGCTCAGTCAGTTAAGCGTCTGCCTTCGGCTCAGGTCATGATCCTGAAGTCCAGGAATTGAGCCCCACATTGGGCTCCCTGCTCAGCGGGGAGCCTGCTTCTCCCTCTCTCTCTGCCCCTCCCCGCTCATGCTCTCTCTCTCAAATACGTAAATAAAATCATTAAAAAAAAAAATAAAGCAAACCTGTGCTGTACTCCCATCCCAAGCCATGCTCCAACACATGAGTTTGGAACAAGTCACCATGCTGGCAAAGCACAGCAGCAGAAAGTCCGTGAGCGCCTCCTTGTATCTGGAGACTATTCTATAGCTGACAGTCCAGTGTTTCCAGGATCCGTTTAATTGAATATTAAGTATGCAAGGCAAGCTGTTAAAAACTAGTTACCATGTTCCTCTATTCCCCATGTTTCCTGTAAACATCTAAGTTCATTTTTTTTTTCTTTTCTTTTGGCAAGACATCATTGGTGACAGTGTATACTTCTCACTGCCTGGTAGCAGAAGGTATATAAAATCTGGTTGCCCCGCTTTTAACAAGGCTACCACTGACATGTGGGTTCTTTTGATGTCAGTATGATCTCTCTATCATGAGTTTCCCCCATCAACCATTTACCTAATGGTTTTAGCAACTATGGATGGTAGCTGCCTTGGTCCTTTATCTCATTAGAAATATTTTTAAATGGTAACTTTTTAAAAAACACTTTATTCATTTGAGAGAGCGAGAGAACACAAGCATGGGTGGTGGAGGGGGAAGAGGCAGAGGGAGAAGCAGGCTCCCCACTGAGCAGGGAGCCCCATGCGGGGCTTAATCTCAGGACCCTGGGACCATAATCTGAGCCGAAGGCAGACACTTAACCGACTGAGCCACCCAGGTGCCCCTAAATGGTAACTTTTTAATGCTGTTCTTTCTCCTACATTTTTTAAGCTGTGATTCTCCTATAAACAAGATTTTTCTCTCATCAACTATTAGGTTGCACTGAAATCAGTCAAATTCACAATGTTGTAGATTAAAATTGGCTTATCATCCAAATGCACATGAGATTCCTATTTGGAACCTAAATCAAAGACCAACTTTTAATTTTTTAAAAGGACATGTTTGAGACACTCAGGGAAACTGAAAATTAACTAGGTGTCAGATGTTAATTATGGAATTATGGTTACTTTTTTGGCTGTGATAACAGTCCTTTCCATTAGATAAACACTGATTTACCAGGGCAATGATATTATATTTTGGATTTGCTATAAAATGCTCCAGCTTCCCCACAAAAAGGAAGGGTTTAGATAAAACAAGAACAGCCAGAAGTTGCCAGTTGTTGAAGCTGGGCTGATGAGTACATGGGATTTTGTTGTACTATTTTTTTTACTTTTGTATTATTTTCCACAATAAAATATTTAAGGAGATAAATTCTTAGAGTAGGTCCAGAAATCGGTGAAAAATAAAATGGTTGCCATCTACAACTACTTATCTGTGTGTGAATCAAGATCTTCTATCACCCACTGGAGCCTGGGTGGCTCAGTTGGTTGAGCGTCAGACTCTTGATTTGGGCTCAGGTCATGATCTCAGGGTCATGAGATCGAGCCCCGCATCAGTCTCTGTACTCAGCGAGGAGTCGGCTTGAGATGGCTTGAGATTCTCTCTCTCCCTCTCCCTCTGTCCCTCCCCGCTCCACCTCTCCCCCCCACCCCACCGCTCTGCATTTGTGTGTACGCTCCCACCTGCACTCTCTAAAATAAATAATCCTTAAAAAAAAAAAAAAAAAGATCTTCTATCACCCGATAGAGTGCATAAACTTAAGCTTAAGTTTGAAAGTCTCCATCTAACTTCAAAATACCACTTAAGGTGTTTGAAAGGATGTAATAATAGTTCTGGAATTAAGAATGATAGCCTTGGAGCGCCTAGGTGGCTCAGTCGCTTAAGCGTCTGACTCTTGATTTCAGCTCAGGTCATGATCTCGGGGTCCTGGGATCGAGCCCCCATGTCAGGCTCCCTGCTCAGCAGGGAGTCTGCTTTTCTCCCTCTCCCTCTGCCCCTCTCCCCACCCCCATTCGTGCGCTCTCTCTCACTCTCTCTCAAATAAATAAAATCTTTTTAAAAATCTGGTTTGTTGGTTTTTAAAGTGAGTAACCTATCAGCATGAGGCAGAGATCAACTGGACCCTTAGGCAGCATCACTGTGTCTTGTATAGCACGTCTTACCGGATAGCATTAGGGTCTACCTCCGTGCCATGTTCTTGTTCCTTCACCCAGCATGAAAATACAGCTGTCTCGGGCGCCTGGGTGGCTCAGTCGTTAAGCGTCTGCCTTCGGCTCAGGTCATGATCCCAGGGTCCTGGGATCGAGCCCCACATCGGGCTCCCTGCTCCGCGGGAAGCCTGTTTCTCCCTCTCCCCCTGCTTGTGATCCTGCTCTCACTGTGTCTCTGTCAAATAAATAAAATCTTTAAAAAAAAAAAAAAAGAAAATACAGCTGTCTCTGGAACCAAGAATTTCCTCCTGAGTAGATGGGTATTCTTCGAGTGCCTAGCGATTTCCTGAGACTTCCACTGTCTAGACTATAGCTGAGCGAACTACAGCCTACCAGCCAGCCCACTACACAACCACACCCATCCATGGAGAGACTGTCTGCAGCTGCTCTCCCAGGTCCAAGAGCAGAGTTGAGTAGGTGAGACAGAGACCAGATGGCCCGCAGAGCCTAAAATAGTTCCTATCTGGTCCTTTACAGGAAAAAAAAAAAAAAAAAAAAAGCCACCCTCTTGGTATAAACCAAAAAATAAACTGCATGGTGTGGCTTTTTAAAAGTTGACTTACAGCAGAAAAGGGTAATATGTTCTAAAGGTTTTATACTTCTATGATTTGATCATCAATATATCACTAATATTTGCTGGTTTGACAAAGGAAGGAATTGGGAGGAAAAAAATCAGTGATTCAGTAAAATCTTCATTATTAGTCAAAGTAACTGGGTGGCTCAGTCAGTTGAGCATTTGCCTTTGGCTCAGGTCATGATCCTGGAGTCCCGGGATCGAGCCCCACATAGGGCTCCCTGCTCAGCGCGATGTCTGCTTCTCCCTCTGCCTCTGCCCCTTCCCCTCACTCTTGCTCTCTCTTGCTCATTCTCTCTCTCAAATAAATAAATTTTAAAAAATCTTAAAAAAGTGTGGAAACACAAAATACAGTAGGATCAAAACACAAAACAATTTAAGAAATGTTATTTGAGGGGTGCCTGGGTGGCTCAGTCGTTGGGCATCTGCCTTTGGCTCGGGTCATGATCCCAGAGTCCTGGGATCGAGTCCCGCATCAGGCCCCCTGCTCTGCGGGAAACCTGCTTCTCCCTCTCCGGCTCCCCCTGCTTGTGTTCCCTCTCTCGCTATGTCTCTGTCAAATAAATAAATAAAATCTTTAAAAAAAAAAAAAGTTATTTGAATCCTTGCCAAGCTGTTTCACTGATGAGTCTTTCACTGTTGTTCCTTTGTCAGGAGAATGAGGAGGTGTAGGGAAGAGCAGAGTTCAGAAAGTCTTAGCAGCTTGCTCCCCACTGGAATTTAGGGACCCCACACATGCTCAGAGTAGGTATTTGAGGGCCAGATCAGAGATGACTTGAAACTCACTCACCAGCTTCCTGAAAGACTGACAAAATTGGTCTGTTCCTGAGTTACACTCTGCAAATCTGGGAGGAAGGAATATTCTAGATCCCAATGCTTAACAGAATTTTTATCCTCTGATTTTGCTAAGGCAGGATGAGTCTCTTTCCCCAGAAAGACACCCCAAAAGACTAACCTTGGACTGAACAAACAGTATGAACAAGTCCTCACTATACCTTCAAAATGTGCTCGTTGGACACCTTGTCATCAGGGGACACATACAATCGGATGAACACAGAATTGCTGTATTGACCACGAAATGTTGCAAGGGTATGCAAAAGACTGAACCTCCTCTCTGACCAAACTCCTTCAGGACCAATATTGGATTCAAGCACAGGCCAGCGGAAAGGTGAGTGCCGCAGGATATGTAGCAATGGTTTGGCATCTGCTTTTTCAATTGCTTCTGAAAGGGAGCAAATACAAAGGAAGAGTTAGAATTGCAAACTGGATCACCAAACTAGAATGCAAGTATATCTTCTCAAGAGAAAATTCCCCGTAAGACCCCAACTTAACATTTCAGCTGTTAGAGAGAGGTGCAGTGGATTGAGCAGGACCACAGAGACAGAACTACCTATGACTCACACTTCAATGTGACTGCCTGAACTTGGTGTTCTTGCCAGGAGAGCTGACTAGGGAAGCTGCTGGATATTCTCGACAAGAAAAAATGGGCTCACTACAGCCCAATGAGCGATATTAGGCTGAGAATACTCTGCAAGACTAAGGAACAATCCTAAGTAAAGGAAACCATTCAGTAAAGCCAACCACTCCCCAATACACGTGAATTAATGCTTCCAGACTCTTTGGTCATCTTTTACCGCCCTCTTCTAGCTCACCAAATAATACCCCAAATCCTAAACAAGGTAACACACTTCCCGCAGGCACTGGCTTCTTCCTGTCTTGAGAAAGCACACCAGAGAAAATGGCAAGTGTTAACCTTAACTCCAATCAGACCCAAGATGCCAAGACAGGCCTAAGACATCCACCTAAGCTGCCTGTTAGGCTGATGGAGAAGCAGAAGGAGGCTGGCCCACCCGGGAATCTGGATTTTCCTAGGCCCCGGTAAGGTTCTATGGGATATAACAACACTCCCAAATGCCCTCTCTCCCAGGCTCCTTCTCAGACCGGACAGGGCCTCTGGATTCTTGTTTCTGCACCACATATGGTGGGGTTTGCCCTCCTGATCCTACCCAAGTTTCTCACGGAGTAACTGCTATCTAAAGAATCCAAGCCAAAGAAATAAAATTATTTTCCTATTTTCTCCATCAAGCCAGCAACAGAACATTAAGACAGGGAGAGTCAAAATTCAGTCTTTGAGAATCGCTCCTTTCCTCAAACAACATTTTTAAACATTAATCGAATTCTTAGTAGTTCTCGTTTTCCTTAAACAATATCTTTAAACATTAATAGACTCTCTGAAGGATAAGGTGTTAAATATTTTAGTTATTTTCTTTATTACTCACTCTCATTCATGCAAGATGAATAAAGGATTTTGGCTTTCTGTATGGCTTCAGTGTCCCGCCTTCTACTGATGGATTTCTCCAAAAGTGCTAGGAAGGTTAAGAAAGGATTCATTAGTATCCACCCACACATGGTGCCAACTTAGAGGTCATTCTATATCCACAGTCCTGGCCTACGGAAAATCAAATGTAAAGACAGACAACCCTGGAAAAGACACATCTATAAAAGATATACAGACGGCAGAACCGCGTCCAAGTTGCTTGAGGTTCAAATAAAAAAAAAACTTTAACCTTCTCTTTTCCCAGGCTCTCCTAATTCAGAGAAACCAAAAGTTCAGTTTCCGACTCAGACCGGACCTGCCGCAGGGGTTAATGGTTTCGCCACCTACATAAAAAGAAACAGAATTCATTTGTTCAAGAACCAAAAATAACTGAATTCTGTTCCTTGTTTCTGCACCAAGCAATATTCTCAAAGGAGGCAATTTCATCAGGGTCGGGTTTCTTAAGATTTCTTCACAGCCCAGCCTCTCAGGGAGGTCACCTGGAAGAAATTGCCCATTAGAAGTTTTATGCGATGTTGCATAAACATGCTGTGGACATGGGAGAAGCGGTTCAGACAGGAAATGGAGAGGCGAGATTGCAAAGCCTACCCAAATCGCCTGAAGACTTGTCCATTTACACATGCGGAGTCCTGGCCATTGAAATGAGGTCGTGTGTAGAAAATGGCTGTCAGCATAGACATGAGCCCACCCAGAAAATGATGTGCGATTTATAACATCACTCATGCTATTGCTTGAAGGCGGAAAATGACAGCCGTCACGATGAAGGAGAGGCGGAGGAGGGAAAGGCAAGACTCAATAAAAACTCCCCTCCTCCCCTCCGCGCAAAACACACCTTGGATGAACCGAAGAGCATTCATGTACCTACATGAAGCCAAGATGAAGCATCCGCGAGCAGCACCGTGGCACTGCCTACATGGAGCTGTGTCAAACTGCCGTTGTCAAGGCATTTGCAGCTTATTTCTGAAACAACCTAGCTGCCTCCCGATGCCGGCACAACAGATGCCCCCGCAGTCCTCTGAATAGCTTCAAGACACAATGGAGCGTGCTAATCAACTTAATTAAACAATTACATATTCCCTGAAGAGGAATCTCTACTTCTAAACTAGAAGTTCTACCTTTCCAAAAAAAAAAATGCAATCCAGAGCTCCTGTCCTGTTTTTTATAAAGCATCTGTACATCAAACAAGTCCACAGAACTACATAGACTCAAATAAAATAAATTGAGTTGGATGTGGGCGTTTTCAACTGTCTCAGCTTGTTTGGTGTTTCTTTCTTGTGTATTATCATAGCAATAAAAGCAAGATAACTAGCCCCAAGGATCAAGAAGGAAGATTGTTTTCTTTTTTTTAATAAACACAAAGCTCTAAAACCATACCCACATATATTTCTATTCAAATCAGATCAGGTGCCTTTGCACTGTATTACTTCCACAGCCCTTGGACTGTTGGGGAGACACATTTGGAAGTAAATAATCCAAATTCCATTTAGGGATCTGATGTTATTCTGATGCTATAAACACTCCACAGATTGCAAACAAGAATGCCCTGAGGACCAAAAACAAGCCATGGGAGCAAAAGAACTCAAAGTAGTAAATATGTACCTGAGTGCGCACCCAAGGCAGTCTGTGTATCACAAGAAGGTGAAAAGAGGACATGCAATGCTAAGTAGGGCATTCCCAAAACCCTAAGTGTGCACAAATATCAATCATTTGTTCAGGCCTACCCCCAGAGATATCATGGGTTCGGTTTCAGACTATTGCAAAAAAGTGAATATTACAATAAAGTCAAATTAATTTTCTGGCTTCCGAGTGCATATAAAAGTTATGTTTACACTATACTGTAGTCAATTAAGTGAGCAATAGCATCATGTCTAAAAAAACAATGTAATACCTTAATTTTTAAAAATACTTTATTGCTATAAAATGCTAGCCATTGGGGCGCCTGGGTGGCTCAGTCGGTTAAGCGGCTGCCTTCGGCTCAGGTCATGATCACGGGATCCTGGGATCGAGCCCCGCATCTGGCTCCCTGCTCAGAGGAGAGCCTGCTTCTCCCTCTCCCTCTGCCTGCCACTCTGCCTACTTGTGCTCTCTATCCATCTGTCAAATAAATAAAATCTTAAATAAATAAAATGCTAGCCATCATTTGAGTTTTCAACAAGTTATATATATATATATACACATATATATATATATATATTTTTTTTTGGCTGGTGGAGGGTCTTGCCTTGATGTTGATGGCTACTGACTAATCAGGGTGGTGCTTGCTGAAGATTGAGGTAGCTGTGGCAATTTCTTAAAATAAGACAATAATGAAGTTTGCCACATAGATTGGCACTTCCTCTCACGAACTCTCTCTGTAGCATGAGATGCTGCTTGATGGCATTTTACCCACAGATCAACTTCTTTCAAAATTAGAGTCAATCCTCTCAAACCCTGCTACTGCATTATCAACTAAGTTTACAGAATATTCTAAATCCTTGGCTGTCATTTCAACAGTCTTCACAACGTCTTTGCCAGGAGTAGATTCCATCTCAAGAAACCACTTTCTCAAGGCACCTGGGTGGCTCCATCAGTTAAGCGTCCGACTCTTGGTTTGGGCTCAGGTCGTGATCTCAGGGTCATGAGATCGAGCCCTACATCGGGCTTTATGCTCAGTGTGGAGTCTGCTTGAGATTCTCTCTCCCTCTCTCTCTGCCCCTTCCACTTGTGCTCTCTCAAATAAATAAATCTTTAAAAACAAAAACAAACAAAACCACTTTCTCTGCTCATCCATAAGAAAAAACTCCCCATCCTTTCAATTTTGATCATGACATGACAGCAATTCAGTCACACCTTCAGGCTCCACTTCTCATTCTAGTTCTCTTGCTATTTCCACCACATTTGAAATCACTTCCTCCCCTGAAGTCTTGAACCCCTCAAAGTCATCCACAAGGGATGATTTCAGCTTCTTCCAGACTCCTGGGAGTGTTGGTATTTTGACCTTTTCCCATGAATCACACATGTTCTTAATGTCCTCTAGATCGGTGAATCCTTTCCAGGAGGTTTTCTATTTACTGTCCCCAGATCCATCACAGGAATCACTCTGTGGCAGCTAGAGCCCTTTGAAACCTATTTCTTAAATAATAAGACTTGAAAGTCAAAACGACTCCTTAATCCATGGGCTGCAGAGTGGATGTTGTGTTAGCAGGCATGAAGGCAACATGAATCTCACTGTCCACCTCCATCAAAGCTCTTGGGTGACCAGATGCACTGCCAATGAGCAGTCATAAGTTTTTCCTGAGCTAATAGGTCTCAATAGTAGGTTTAAAATACTCACTAAACTAGGTTGTGAACAGATGTGCTGTCATCCAGGCTCTGCTGTTCCATTTACAGAGCACAAGCAGAGTCGATTTAGCATAACCCTTAAGGGCACTGACTTCAACTTAAAGTCACCGGGGCGCATTAGCCCCTAACAGGAGAGCCTGTCCTTTGAAGCTTTGAAGCCAGGCACTGGCTTCTCCTCTCTAGCTATTAAAGTCCCACATGGCTGCTTCTTCTAAAAAGGGCTGTGCCATCTACACTGAAAATGTGTCGTGTGGAGTGTAGTCATCTTCATGAATTATCTTAGCTAGATCTTCTGGAGAACTTGGATATCTGGGTAACTGGATAACGCTGCTTCACCTTATATTAGGGAGCCAGCTTCTTTCCTTAAACTTCACGAATCAACTTCTGCCGGTTTCCAACTTTGCCTCTACAGCTTCCTCACCTCGCTCAGCCTTCACAGAATTCAAGAGAGTTAGGGCCTTGCTCTGCATTAGGCTTTGGCCTAAGGGGATGTATACTGTGGCTGGTTTGTCTTCTGTCCAGACCACTGCAACTTTCTCTAGATCAGCAAGAAGGCTGTTTTGCTCTCTTATCATTCATGTGTTCACTGGAGGAGCCCTTTTAATTTCCTTCAACAGTTTCCTTTGCATTCACAACTTGGCAAACTGGTGCCAGAGGCCGAGCTTTCAACATACCTCCCTCACTAAGCTTAATCATTTCTAGCTTTTGATTTAAAGTAAGAGACCCATGACTCTTCCTTTCACTTGAACACTTACAGGCCACTGTAGGGTTATTAATTGGCCTGATTTCAATTTTGCTGTGTCTCAGAATAGGGAGGCCTGAGGAGAGGGAGCAAGATGGGCAAACAGCCAGTCGGAAGAGCAGCCAGAACGCACACAACATTTATCAATTACATCTGCCATCTTCTATGGATCGCGGGGCCCCCAAACAATTACAATAACATCAAAACTCACTGATCACAGATCACCGTAACAAATATAAGAGTAATGAAGAGATTTGAAATATTCCAGAATTAGCAAAATGTGACAGAGAGACACAAAGTGAGCAAATGCTGTTGGGAAAATGGCGCCAAATGGATTTGCTTGATGCAGGGTTACCACAAGCCTTTAGTTTGTGAAAAATGAAGTACCTGCCAAGCCCAAGAAAGGGAAGTCCAATAAAGTGAGGTATGCCTGCCTGTGTCAAAATTCTGGTTTCTGTACCAGAATGTGGCTTTTATTTTTTATTTTTTAAAGATCTGATTTATTTGAGAGAGAGAGAGACACAGCGAGAGAGGGAACACAAGCAGGGGGAGGGGGAGAGGGAGAAGCAAGCTTCCCGCGGAGCAAGGAGCCCGATGCGGGGCTTGATCCCAGGACCCTGAGATCATGACCTGAGCCGAAGGCAGACGCTTAACGACTGAGCCACCCAGGGGGCCCCAGAATGTGGCTTTTAAAACAAATTCAGCTATCCTGGGTTACTTGTCAAACCCTTTCTGTTCTCCTCTCCTCCTCATGCCCAAGCAGGTAGGAGCATTGATATGCAGACAGTGATGTAGCAATCGGCTGGCAGCATCCATTTTATGTACCTCTGTATCTGAATTAGTGGTAAGAGGAATAAAGTCTAGCCTGGAGAGTAATTAATGAGCAGAAAACAAAGCATGCCTATCAAAGGCAATTACTCAGGTTATTAAAATGTCCCTAAAGCGCTGAGAAGGGCTCCTGGGTC